TGCTTCAGTGCATAAAAAGATATCCAGACTCGCACTTGGTATAAATGTCTTTCAATCTACTTTACATTCTACCCATACTTCCGCACGGCCACCGATGCATCTTGACTGAGTTCTTTTATCAAGAGCACAAGGGCAATGGAGGATTATAAGCATTATAAGCGTCGGTTCCTGGCAGCATTAGGACCCATTCAGGACTTCTTAAACCCTTTTGTGCCACAGAATCCTGGGACAGTCTGGTGAAGCCTATGGACCCCTTCTCAGAGAAACGTTTTAGATGTATACCATAAAATGCATGACATTTCAAAGGAAATCAAGTATACTGAAATACACTTATCAAAAAATTTAAAAATATGTTTGTGACCTAGCAATTTATGTGCATCATTACAACGTACTCAATGACAAGATCTCAAGGAAGGGCCAATGACTGTTAGGCTTCCGAGTGCTAAACCTGGATGATACATCCCGATGTCTGCAGCACGTGCGTGGTGATAGGGAAATATCACAGAGGGCTGTGGTTTGTGGCCTTTGTAACTAATGGTAAATTTTGGTTAGTGAAATACAGATTTAATGTTTCCCTGTGTGAGTTCATGAATATTGAGGTCTGTCTGTAGGCCCCCAGGAAGGGATCGCTGATTGAAGGGGTGCCAGGTGACTACAGAGAGGACGAGAGAGGGCCTGGGCACCAGCCTGCTTCCTCAGAACCTCATTAAATACAAAACTGTCAGAGCCTGTTAACAGAACCGCGGAAGGGCCAGCACGCTTTCTGCAGACGTCCCCGGGAAGGGCCTGTTCTTGTCCTGGGCCAGCACAGCTCTAAGGATCACGGGTTCAGGTCCCTCTCTGGAACACCCTCACCCCAGGGCCGGAGAGGCCCCCACAAGGTGCAGCGACATGTGCTCTCCTTTACACACACAGGTAAGTCAGGCCCAGCGCCTGCCCCCAGCTCCAGGGTAGAGAGAGAGAAACAAGGCCCCCAGTGGAGCTAGACTGTTTTCTTCACTCGACAATCACTGTCAGAGCCTTTGCTGAGCCCAGAGGCCGGCACTGTGCACACGGAGGCTCCCTTTCACGTTTGTGTTGTTGCATGTGTGCGCAGGCACTGCGCTCCGCGTTGGGTTCTGCGGCAGACATGCGCCTTCCCTCTGAGGAGACGGACGTTCGCTGAGCAAAACAACCCGGGACAGCAACTGGTCGCGGTGCTGTGAAGAGATGAGCAGGGAAGACGGCGGGGGAGCAGGCAAGCCAAGGACAACGTCTCCAGGAAAGCGACCTTTGGTAGAAGACTTGGAGGCTCCGTTTGCCCGGCTCACAGGAGGGGAGGGGGCTCCAGGGCAGGGCGGGCAGGGAGCTGGCCCTGCCTGCTGCAGGAGGCGCTGGGGCCAGATGATGAGGCTGTAGGACGGTGAGGGCCGTGGCCCTTCGGGCCACGAGGAAGTGGGACAGTATTTTACAGGCCAGTGGAAACCGTCAAAGGGTCTCACAGTACCTGGTGGAGTGAACGAGACAGTCTTCAGGAGCTCTCGGGCCGGCGTGGAAGATGTTGCCGAGACTGTAACTTTGGGTGAAGGACGCTTTCCCTTCTCTAGCATTGCTTTCTTCAGGCTGGGCCCTCTGCCTGGGTGGCTTCCCACCGTCTGCCCAGTCCAACCGTACAGCTAACTTTCTCCTTAGCATCGCCTCCTCTTCAGTTGTCTTGCGCTGCCCTACACTGCGGCCCTGGGCACCCGCGTGGGTTGCTCCCCGCATGGCAGTTACACTACAGTGTCCACTTTCCCTTTCTCCAAACCACCACTGGAAAGGGAAGTTGGGAAATCTTCGGCTGCAGACTGGCCCCCGCCCTCCACTAGCCTGGGATTGGAGTAGGCACTGACACCTGCTGGCAACAAGTGGAATGGCATGCAAGATGGAGGCGGAAAAGAGGACTCCTGGAAACAGCCCAGGTCCAACAGGGCTTTCCTGTTTGGTGCCAGGAATATAGCTCAGCGGCGCAGCACTTGTCTGGCTAACCGCAAGGTCCTGAGTTCGATTCCTACCCCCAACCCCCAAAAAATCACAGGAGCTCTAGCTAGAAGGAGGCTCTGATGATTTTGAGAGGCAGAGCTGGGCTGGGTGGAGGAGAGAGGAAATAACGGAACAACTGCTCATAGATGCGGACCCAGGGTCCAGCCCAAGGGACTGCTGAGACTGGCGTCCAGACCTTGGACGTAAGCCAGACTAGCAAGGGGGCTCCCCTTGCTACCACAGGGACCAGAGCTATCCACACAACAGGAGAGAAGACCACTTCACACTTGGGAGAAGGAGACCAGCTTCAAAGCCACTATCTCTCCACACTCCCCTTTCCTGGAACAACTTGTTTTGCATTAAGGTTTGGGACTTTGACCAGGGAGCTGTGTTTTCCTTCTGCTGGTCACCTGATATTCCTCCTGCTCACCTGCTGCCCCCACAGTCCCCAAAGCCCGCCCAGGGTGTCCTTGCCTTTCCTCAGGGGTCTGGGGGAAGTGGAGGACATTTGGGTGAGGAGGACAGAGCCTAGGAATTAGGAGCAGGTGGCAGAGGCTGGGATGTACCCCAGGGGCACTGGCCAGTAGGGGCGGATGTCACAGCAGCGACTTACCCTCCCACTTGCCCTCTCTTGACTCCTGGGGAGCCCCAGTTTTCTGGGGTTTTGCCTTCCTGCTCTATCCTCCTCCTCTTCCTTTGCAACACTGTGTGAGGGGCTGCATCCTGGCCCTCACTCCGCTTCTGCCGCTGGACACACATAGACATGCAGACACAGACCCACACGGGTCCTGGACGCAAGGCATGCGCTCCCACCGAGTTACCATCACTGTGCCGCAGGGGTCTCTTGCATCTAACTGTGTTCCAGACCCAGGTGCCTTCTGTCCACCTCCCTCTGAAGGGTCCATGCACCGCACACACAATACCCGTAAGCCCATAGCCTATCTCCCCCACCTGTTCTGGCGCCTTCTGAGGCACCACCACCCCAGCTACCAGAGCCAGAAAAGTAACCCTGGCGTCACTTCCCAGCTAGTTGCTCTTCTAGAGACCACACCCTGGCTTTTCTACCACCTCGACTGATGCCCTTCTCTCTGAGGCCCCTTTCACTTTCCCAAAGGCAAATCTGACCATGACCCCTCTGCCCGAAACCCTGAAGATGGGGTTCACGGATGTTTGTTAAATTCAACTCCATTCCTTACATTCCAACCACCGATTCCCTGGCTGTTTATTAACAAGTACGGTGCCTGCCACAGACTGTGGCCGAAGCCTCACACCTAGCCAGGGTAGGAGGGAGAAGGAATCCGCGTGTGTAGGAGGCATCACTCAATCCACCAAAGTCCCCCTAGAATAACTCAGGAGTAAATACCCCAGTTTCCATTGGCATGGGGCCACTGCACATGTGCACACACAGTAGGGCCAAGTCATGGTGTCTGAGCACTCCCACTGACAGAGCCTTCCTGCTATAGATAGCGAGGGCTGCCATGAGATCCTCTGAAGAACCCTCACTCCGTTTGCTGCCCTGGGCAGGGAGGATGTGGAGGGGCCTCTTGCTCGGGTTCTGACTTCTGAGAAGCGCCTCCCCTCCTTTCTTCCCTCTCTCCCTCCCTCTCTCCCTCCGTCCTTCCTTCCCTTCCTTCTTTCCTTCCCTCCTTCCTCCTTTCTTTCCCTTTTATCATGGGACAGAAGTAGGAGCTATTGGTGAATACGACTAAGGAACAGCTAGCACGGTGGCCGTCCTCACACACTCAGGCCTGCACTCAAGCGGAGGATCGTAGGGATGAACTCACTGCCATGGCCACCCACTTTTTGGCTACTTGTCTTCAAATCCACCCACATTAAACTGTCTAAAGCCCCTCTTCTTTGAGGAGTGGCCTCAATCACACTCTCCTTGCTGTGCACCTTGGTGCAGATGGACACAACGACTTAGTCACTGTGAACCAGGCCACTGTGACCAGAGTTTTCCAAGGCACCTGAATACCTTCTTCCCTGGAGCCCAGACCCGGGACAGCCCGAGGTCAGAGGCTTGAATATCACTGGAAAGGGCTTTTCCTAAGGTCCTGTTGGGCAATCCGAGCAAGCAATAGGCTGCACACACTGCCGGGGGACTGCCGTTGGCAACCACAGCTCACCCGGCCCCATGAGGGAAAGAGGACAGCACGGCTCTCAGCCTCCCAGCTGCTTGTATTCCTGACTGGTTGGGGCGAGCAGGGCCTGGGCCTCAGTAGGTACTTGAGCCGCTCTCAGCCCCGAGTTGGGGGGCTGGGGTGATGCCCTGTGACCCTGAGGGGTCTGGCTTCAGGGCCTCCCTGCTGCTGGGGCCAGGGGAGCCTTTCTCCAGGCTGCTCCTGCCTGCGCGCTGGCCTTGGGACCTCCGCAGCTGGGCTGTACTCGCTGGCTGCTGCCGCAGTGAAGGTGCGGACAGATCTGAGGGTAGGCGTTGAGGCCTCTGACTAAGCTCAGATCTCGTCTGAAGGACACCTCCCCAGTTTCCAGAGCCGAGCAAGGCCGGCTGGGCTGTTGTGCTCTACTGGAGTGGTAGATTTGGGAGTGGCGGGGCAGGGCCGGGACAGCGAAACTGCGTTGTGTCCCAGCCTCACCCTGCCCAGGTCTGGTTTACTGGGGCGGAGACAGGTGAGGAGGAGAACAGGCTCTGGGGGAAGTGTGCAGCTTTAAGCCTTCCCTGGGTTTGGGTTTTCCCCAGGCTTCCTGAGCCAGCCTGCCAGTTTCTTAATCCCACTGCCAGCTTCCAAGAAACCCCACCCACTGCACTCACTCAGGTGGAGGGACAATGTGTCGCTTCTCTCCTCAGAGCCTGGCCTCACCCTGGGGAAGGGGAGCTTAGGCAGAGCCTCTGGTGGGGGGTCTGGGGCTCGGGGCAGGCTGGGATCTCCCCACAGCTCCTGGCCCTCAGATCCACCTCCTTAGCTGGTCTCTGAAGGGTGGCCTTGAACGCCAGCTTAGTGGGCTGGGCGCCCGCCAGGGAGGCCTGGCCGGGCAGCTCATTTCCATGGAAGGGAGGGCACTTTTTCTCCACCACCCACCCGGCCTCCCTCTGCCACCTCCCCGGCTTGCTTCCTTGCTTGCTCCTGCCTTCCAGGGCCAGACTGGCTCCAGTGTACCTCAGGCAAACACTACCAGGCCCCACGCAGCTCCAGGAGGCCGGACGCCATCAGCACAGCGAAGACCCAGCAGCTGCCTGCAGCCATGCTGGCCCTCAGCCTGGTCATTCTGGGCCTGCTCAGTACAGTGCCGCCGGCTAGCTGTCAGCAAGGTAGCGCAGGACTGCACGGTCCTGGTGGTTTCAGGGAGGAGGGGCTGGGCAGGGCACCGGGGATCCCAGGAGGAGGGGGTTGTGTCCCCGTATCTCCCACCCCATCACCTGCACTGGAAGGAGCTGGAGTGGGCTAGCCAGGCCTCTCTGTCCGTGACGTGGGGGAATGTTGGCTCTGGGAGTTGGGGCAGGGTCTGGAGTTGAGACCCAAGTCCCTGAGTGTGAACTGCCGTGGAGATGGCTGGGCCCCACGGCAGGGGTCAGGGCTACATGACTGTGAGAGGGCCCAACCACCTCCCCATGGCGGCGCATGCTCGTTGTCTCTGCTCCCTTGGGCTTGGGTAGGGAGCTCAGCCACCACACAGCTCCCACCAGGAGTTTAGCACCATCCTGCTGTGTGGCTTTAAGAAATCACTGTCCCTCTCTGAGACTCAGTTTTCTTCCCCATAAAATGAGTCACTTCCCTGAGCTGCTTGAGGTCTGTACACCACACCCCAAGGCCAGGCACCCTCCCTGCTCTGCCAGGCCATATCTGTGGCCAGAGTCTGGTGACTGGGTCCAGAGAGTCCTGGCAGAGACAGATCCAGGGCACCCTCTCCTGAGCTCTCGTGTGTACTTGTTTTGCTCTGTCTCCCAGGTCTTGGAGGTTCTCTGGGGAACTGAAGGGACAAGAGAGGTTGAGTAACTTACAAGGGTCACACAGCAGGTCAAGAAAGGACAGGACCAGACCATCTTTCTTCACTCCCAGGCTCTGCCCCTTGCTCTGTGTGCTCACTCCAGAGCCATGTGGGAGGGCAAACAGGGGACTGCTCTTTGGTGTGACTGGAGGAAGAGGAGGGGACCTCCCAGGGCTGCTGCCCGGGCTTGAGCAATCACTGAACTGAGAAAGCAATGGGCCCGCCCCACTGCCTCTGTGGGGCCGGTGAGGCTCAATGCTGGTCTCTGCAGGCTAAACCACATTGTGTGTCTTCTGCTACCCTTGCTAAGCCCGGACTGACCTGGCCCCAGCCCAGAGAGTTGCACAATTCTCCCACCTTCTGTACACCTGCCAGGCTCAGAAAGAGCTCCAAGAAGAGACCAGATTTCCACTGAAACAGGGAGATTTAGGGTAAACTCCAGGGAGGGCTTCGGAGTGGGAGTAGGGCAGAGTGAGGTTTTCCAGTGTCCAACCCGAACCTCTTATAACAGAGGATGGCTCTGGGGATGCAGACCCTGTGTCTGGAAGGGGGCCTCCCAGATGTTTGCTGCTGGCCTCTGCTCCCTCCTGGGACCCTTTCCTCCTGGAGCACAGTGTCACCCAGGAAAGAGAGCGCTCCTAGGGTGGCCAGTGGCTGGGAGAAGACTTCTGGGAACTCCTGAGGGTCCAAGCAGGTGTTGTGGGTCAGAAAGCCGAGAAGGTACACGGCTGGGCCTCACTTGGTCTCTGACCCTCGTCCTCTGGGCACCCAGCTGGAGGAGCAAACAAGGCTCCCTTCCTGGGCCTCGTCTCTGACTTCACTGCAAACCCCGAGCCCCACTGCCTGGCTGACATATTCCCCAAGCTCCTCCCAGGGGAGCCTCTGGCTACCGAACAGGATCTTCCAGATGCCAGCCCCAACCTGGCAGCTGTGAGCCGAAGAGGAGGAGGGCAGCCATGCCCACCGGGCGAGGCCTGGGCCAACTGTCCAGAGGGCTGCCCTTTAGATCCTGGGGCTCGCGCACTCCCGGGGGGCGGGGGCCCTGCGTGTGACCCTGGGGGCGGTGGCAAGGCTCTGGACTGCCTGTTTCTCAGGCACAGCCCCTTAACCCCACTCCCTCCTTGGAGGCTGCTCAGGCCTTTTTGAACTTGTCTGCTTTTCTTCCTGGTGCTGTCCTTATTCTCAGCCTCAGAGGGGTCAGACGGGCCCTCCCTTCCACCCCTGGGGCCCCAGAATGTCTCCCCGGGTCCTGCAGTGGCTGACGGACTCTAACACAGGCTCCGGTGTTAGGGGCAGGACCGCCCTTGCAGCCGCCTCTTCTTTCCAGGCCTGGGGAACCTGCAGCCCTGGATGCAGGGCCTCATTGCAGTGGCTGTGTTCCTGGTCCTCGTTGCAATCGCCTTCGCCGTCAACCACTTCTGGTGCCAGGAAGAGCCGTGAGTGCAGCCCGAGGGCCCTGGGCTCTGCCCGTCCCATACCTCTCTCTGAGCTCTAGGGACTGCCTTGTCTCCTAGGAATCTCAGTGTTTCCCTCTGTGGTCAAGATAGCTGGCCAGGCTTCCTTCTGGAAAACAAGGTACTGTCCTTCTGGAGGGTCGGAGGACAGAGGGTCCACACAGGACAGAGGAGCAGCCTGCAGCATGCCCTGAGCAGCCTGAGCTGCTCTAGGGAGGCCGGAGGTTTCCAGCTGGCACATCTGTCCCGCAGGCTGAAGCACCAGGGGAGTCAGTTGGGGGCGGGGGACAGGGCAGCGTGGGAAGTGTGCCTGGCACAGTGCACAGAGGGCAAGGGTCTGCTCTGCACTCGTCAGGCCAGACCCAGTGTCAAGGTTGCATTTGTCCCTGGGGCAACTTCCCTCTGCTGTCATACAGGTGGCCTGGTGGGCAGGGGTGAGCAGTAGCCCTGTGCAACCTACCGAGGACACACAGGTGCTCAGCGGGCAGGGAGGGAGGGAGGAAGAGGGCAAGATGAGGTTGAGGCTGGGCAGGACTAGGGCCAAGCAGAGCCTTGTGCATGAATTTTGGTCTTTGTCCTGTGTGGTAGGGGTGCAGCGGGAAGCCTGGGAGTGTGACACTGGCTGATGCGGGCAGTGAGAACAGTCCTCAGGCGTGGACAGCAGGGAGCATGCGGTGGGGACAGAGTCTGGACCCAGAGATGGCAAAGGGGATGCGGAGAAGGGACAGGCCTCAGAGCTGCCTAGGAGAGGCGGCCCTGGGCGAACAGACAGGGGAAGGAAGACAGGGTGATGTGCAGAAACCTCACGGAGACACAAGAGGATGGGCAGACCTGGGGTACCTGTGCGTTTAGTTGGGGACGTGTTAGGTCTGACACGCCTATGGGGTTCTGGGTGCAGAGCCTCCTTGCAGTGGGCTTACTCTTGAGGAGGAGGGGAGGTGTGGAGGATTCACGTTTCTCCAGCGAGCCCGTCTACTGCTCATTTGGGAAAGATGCCGAGTCCTGGGGGGTTTGCTCTGGGGGCGGAGCTGAGCACAGCGAGGGAGTAGCGGGGAGAGGCCTTGGATTTGGGATGCATCTTTTGCATATCTCTGGCCACCGCTGTGCAGCAGGCAGAAGGCTAAGGGGCCCCAGTGGGATGAGGCCAGACACAGATGGAGGTACACCTGTGAAGGGCAGCCTCTGCCTCTGGCTCATCAGAACCAGGATCCAAAGCAGGGTCTGCGAGGAAGGGATGGGATGTGGGGGTTACTGACACTTCCCATCCCCAGGGAGCCAGGAGCCATGGTCATGACCGTTGGAAACAAGGCGGACGGGGTCCTGGTGGGAACAGAGGGCAGGTACTCCTCCATGGCGGCCGGCTTCAGGTGAGGGGCTGAGACAGGGCTGCCCGCCTTGAGCTCCAGGGACTCAGGGTGAGGGGGCGGGGCTCAGGAGGAGGCGTTGCTGGGTATGGGGCAGGGAAGGGTTAGGAAGAAAGGCTCTGTCAGCATTTCAGGGCTGCATGAGCAGGCAAAGCTCCAGTTTGGTGAGAGGGCTCATTTAATGGGTGGGGACCTGGGAGATTCAGCAACAATCCTAGGGCAGTGGGTGCTGTGGGGAAGAGGGGCTCAATGCAGGACAGAGGGTCAGTGAAGGGCTGCACGAGTGTGGGAACTCCAGGAGAGGGCTTGTAGCAGAAGGAACTTGGGGAGTGGGGTAAGGGGGGACCCACACAAGGAGGAGCTCAAGGAAGAGGGAAGTGAGATTTGGCAGGTGTTTGGAGACGCCGCCAGGCAGATGTACAGTCTTTGTGGGACTCAAATGTTTCTTCTGGGAGATACCGTTCTCACAAGCCCAGGATGGGGCAAGGGCAAGGGGATGGGACGAGAGGCCTGAAGATCCACCAGGCGCCTGCTTCTCTTCCAGGTCCGGTGAGCACAAGAATGCCTATGAGAACATCCTGGAGGAGGAGGGCAGAGTCCGAAGCACCCACATGTGACCTGGCTCGCCCGAAGCTCTAAGGCACCCGTGATAGATGCCAGTGCCACCCTGATACTTCAGTCCCTGTGCAGGAACCTAAAAGAATGGGCTGACACCCCTTAGTTTCAGCCAGTCAAGGCTGGGGCTCAGATGATGCCCAAGTGGGGCCTGGCTGTGGCCCTCGGGTCTTCTTGGGCGTCTCCTACCTAACTCAGAAAAGCCTTCTGAAAAGACAGCCAGCTCAGCACCTCCCACCGTGCCTCCCACCCTCCCCTGTGAGCATGGAGATGGCCCTTACTTCTGAGAAATAAAGACTTTTTGTATGCCTGGGGCTGAGGCTCAGAAATAGTCCTTCAGGCTTCCAGTGAGGCCTGTCTTTCTTTCTGAATCATGACAATCACCTTCTGAAGCCCGTCACGGTGGCTTTGGAGGATTACCCAGCAAGGTCGTGGGCCACAGGGCAGCTGGGCTGGGGGCGGGGGCAGGCCAGCCAGGGTGAGGGCTGACGGGCTTGGTGGGGTGGAAAGCGGGCCTGCGTCTTTCCTGGAGCCTGAATGGAGCACAGGATGAGCTCCCGAGTGAGCCAGGAGACTGGGAGAGACAGGGCGACCAGGTGCAGGGGGACCTCCTGCCCCGGGGGGTCCCTCTGGCCAGGCCTTCCCTTCAGCCCCAGCCACAGGTGAGCTCCCTGCAGGTCTAATGCTGGTGCGGGCAGGGCACCCCTAGTGCTGGTCAGTGCCAGAATGTGTCCCTGCTTTTTTCTTGTGCATACAGCAGGAAAGGGAGGCAGGGGCCGTGTCCTCTATTTACCTGAGCTTCTGGGCTGTTCTTTGGGCAGCCCCTCCCCCAGTGCAGCTTGGCACTGCGGAGAGTTCACTTGTCTGTCATTCATCTAGCTCTGTTCCTCACCGTAGCCTCTGAGAGCTGGGTTTTGGCGTGGGAAATGCCAGGAACGAGCCTGGGGCTGGACTCAGGAGGCCTGGTTTGAGTCCTTGGTCCTCGCCGACTTGCTGTGTAATCCCCAGAGACCTCCTGTCATGCCCCAAGCCCAGAGGACTGGGCCAGTCTCACTGCAGTGCTGGAGTGGAACCCAGTCCTCACTGATGCCCTGGCTCAGGGAACAAAGTAGCAGGCAGAGGGGAGAGGAGGAGACTCGGGTCTTGGCTGACCCTGGACTCTGTGATAGCCAGTCTTGGGGAGCAGCTTGTCTGTCTGGGGTGATCACCTGAGACACTGGGGCATTCCCAGATGTCAGGACGGGGTGCGCCTGCAGCCGAGGGAGCGGGCAGGGTTTAGGACGCGTCCTGAGCAGGGAGCGGGAAGCAGCATCTTCGCTGTGGGCCTTCCCCGCCTTGCTGTGTGACCTGCGCAAGTCACCTGTCCTCTGGGCTTTGGCTTGAAGGACTGCGGCTGCTGCTCCTGTGAGTTCTAGTCTAGGCTTTGGCTCAGGGGATTCACATTTTTCATCCACTTCTGCCAGTTTAAACTTCACCTGTTTTTCTTTCTTGGCCCAGCCAAGGTTCCTCTTCCTCTGCAAAGTCTCCCTTGCTTAAACCAGAAGGCAAAGCCGGGTGATCTGCCAGCCGGGTTTCCCACTCACTGAAGGAGACAGAGGTTTCCATAGAGCAGGGATAGTGAACCTTTTAGAGCTCTCAGTGATACAAGCAGCCTGCTGCGGCAGGGGTACTATAGGTTCGGCACTGCTGTTATAGAGGGCCAGACCTCTGCTAGGGCACAGACGTGCCCTTCTTTCTTCTGGCTTCCTGGTTGGGATCCTCTCCTCTTTGCTTGAAGCCCCACCCCTCCCCTCCCACCTCTGCCTCCACTGTCCCCAGGAGGTGGAGGTGGGTTCCCTAGTCTGGTTGCCGGATATCAGAGCCACCTGTGAGGTGTCAGCAGGCCAATCTTGCTTGGGTCGCTTCCCAGCCGCCTCCCTAGGCCTTGGGGCAGGAGTCCCCACACTGTGCTCTCAGAGGCTCACTGTCCTCCCTGTTCTATCTGCTCAGTTTGGGCAGGACTAGGACGGTGGGAACCCTGGGGACCTGCAGGTCCTGGGCTGGCATTGACCTTCCAGCCCCGCCCCCACCCACGTTCCTGCTCCGACCGGCTGGGAGCAAGGAACTGCTTGCTGGCCCCAGAATAGCCAAGACCCCCACTCCTTATCGCTGGCTTCCACCTGCCAGCCGGGTCTGATCAGGGAGGGAAAGAGGCTGGGCCGTGGCCAGGGCCGCTGCTTAATGACCCTCCCGGGGCCTAATCTCAGACTGGCAGCCGTTGAGTGGCTGGGGCTCCATCCTGGAGGAGGCTGATAACGCACCAGCTGGGCCCCCCACCATCTATGGGGCGGCACAACCCGCCCCCAGGGGGTCTTGCAGGCTGGGGGAGGGACTGGAGGCTGGCTTCCGCCCCTGGCCCTGAGGGAGGGAGGGGCCCAGAGCTCCCAAGAGACCCTCTGGGGGAGGAGCTGGCTGGGATTGTGCTCCTGGGCCCTTTCCTGCTCCCTCCTAGGCATTCTGCTTCCCCTGTAGGACCCCATCTCTGGCCCCATCTCTTCTTTGTCTCTCTTCATCTGTATCCTGTGTTCTCCTTCCTTCACGGGAGCTCAGCGCCCAGGGTCCCTCTCCCCACACATTCCTTCCCAGTCACCAGCTGCTTCTCCCAGTTGCCCCAGCTCCCACCCCCAAACTGCCCGGATGCCCCTGCCCCCTGGCCTGCCAGTCCCTGACGCACTGGAGCCTTACTTCCTGCGGCACCCACACCTTCCACCTGCTCTCTGCCTTAAGGCGAAGGTGATTTCTGCTTTCTGAACAAGGCCATGCTGCTTTCTTTCTCCCCTCCTACTCAAAGCCGGGAATTTCGAAGGCTAACATAATAGGTTATCACCAAAGTCACGTGAAAGGGAAGGCTTCCAGGAAAGGGAATCCTACCCTCAGGTCCTGCACAGGGGGAGGGGGAGGGAGGCTGCAGCACTGCGGACTTCAGTTAGATTGAAAAGGAACTTCCAGCCTGGAGCTGGTTTTGATTGAAAAGGAACTTCCAGCCTGGAGCTGGTTTTGACAGTGGCTGTAGAGTTCTAGCTCTACACTCTCCTGTTGTAGGAGAGTGCCAGGTGGTCAGCGTGAGTTGCAAGATGACTCCCCAGGTACTCCGGGTAGTATGCGCAGAAACACGACATCAGCTACTGCTACTTCAACTTCAGGACTACTGCGAGACAGAGGGTGCGGGGTGGGGGCTGGGGTGGGGCCAGGGCTCACGCTTTTCTGTCCTCTTGGGCCGACCTCACTCGCAAGTCAGCTGTCAGAGCTTCCTCTGGGGCCAGAGTGGGCAGCATCTGCCTCCTGTGCAGATCTGGGTGTGGGACGGCCGGACTCCCCAGCTCACCTCCCCTTCCACTTTTCAGTCCCTAGAAATGTGCACAGTGGTCAAAAGCTTAAGCTTGGGAATCAGACAGATGCTGGTTCAAATTCCAGGTCTACTTCTCAGTGCTCTGGAACCCCTTCGATTTTAAGTCCTCTGCTCCCTTGCTAGTAAAATTGGCTGTAACAGCTTTTTCTGCAGGACCGCTGGGCAAAAGACACAACACGTGTTATTATTGCGTGTGAGACTTGCCAGGAAGCAAGTGACCCATGGTCAGCTTAGGTGTCCAGCACCTACCCCAGCCAGCTCATGGCCCTGTCTGCTCGCTTGTGGCGCCCAGCTCTGGCTCCAGGTCTGGGAGCCCCTCGAAGGCAGGAATGGGCTCACACCCCTCTGTGCAGCACCCGTATCCAGGGTGGAGAGGGGAAGGGGGGCCCATGGAGGGGCGAAGTGAGACAAAGGAAGAGGAATAACCACCTGTATGTCTATCCATAGCCCTCTGACTTTCCAGAGCATAGACACACATGCGCGCGCGCGCGCACACACACACACACACACACACACACACACACACACACACACACACACACACACACACACACACGCACATGCTGTCTCTGAATGAAGATCCTGGGCATTTCCTGAACCTTGCCGGTCCGTTTGGCCTTGAGTTTCAGGAGCGGCTCTCCTTCTCTGTGGCCTCCGCTGCCACCTGGTGGCTACACAGAGTATACGCGGGGCAGCTTCAGCAAGCCTTTGAACTTGAGCTTGAGGCCTGTTCTTCCCTTGAAGTGCAGCGATCAGAGGCCCTTCCTCCACAGTCCACGGACCCCTTCAGGTTGTGCCACCATGCACTGGGCCTTCCTATGGGCCTTGAGGGCATCTGGGCCTCTAGCATCCTTTCCTTGTGGCCCCCCACTAAACCTATGATGTCTCAGGCTCTGTGTTGTACCGCTGAAGCCAAGATTTTGCGAGTTTAGGCATCCTGGCCCTCGAGCCACACTGCCCTTCTCTCAGAAGGGGTCTGAAGCCCAATGGCTTCTGTACTGAGTCTGTTTTTCTAACAAATGGTCCTATGTCCGGGGTTTGTTCTCTCAAGACACCGGCCTCTTGGAGAAGCAGAGTAGAAAGAGCTTGAGGTGAGAGTGGGAGAAACACAGGAGGGAAGACCTGGAGTGAATCCCGGCATCTGTCCCCAGCAGGGTGGAAGATAGTGGAGTCAAGGACATTTCTCCTCATGGTGCCTGCTCCTCCCTCCACTAACCAGACGCCTGCTTTGGGCCTGTGTCCCTGGGAGGAGGGGTTTGTCTTTTTGATTCTCACAAAGGCATCGAGGAAGAAGGTAGTAGTAGGGACAGCGGTAGTGAGTGTGGGATGAGGCTGTGGGTGTGCTTGCAGGGAGATTTGGGCCTGCAGAGGGACATCGACAAGGGAGGGACTTGGAAGGGCCACTGGGAGCACAGCTAAGGTCTGAGGCTCGGGGAGCACTTGCTACAGTAGTTGAGCCAGGGATTTCGCCCTAGTGTTGGATGCTGCCTGAGTGTTTAAGAGCCCCAGCCTGGGTCAGGCATCCTGGCCACAGCGCAGCTCTGACCCTGACACTGTGTGCACGACCCAGCCCCGCTCAGCCCCTGTGTCCTGTACCCTTGGGGCAGTAAATGGGTCTACCTAATAAGAAATGTGAGCATGAAAAGAACTAGTTCACATAAAACACACGAAATATACCCAGCACGTGAATCACACTTTTTTTTGTATGTGTGTCTTTTTGAGACAGGGTCTCACTATGCAGTTCAGGCTGGTCTTGAACTCACTTTGTAGCCAGGCTGGCCTCAACTCGCAATGATCCTCCTGCCTCAGCCTCCCGAGTGCGAGGATTACAGGTGTGCGCCACCATGCCCAGCTGCACACTGCTTTTTAAAAAAATATCATCATAGGGTTATTATTTCAGACTGTGTGAATTAGATGCATGACCAC